GAGCCCAAAACTAGCAGCAACAAACAGAAGACAGGAGTACTTTTTTGATTTTCTGAAGTTAAAAGCCAGACTCAGAGGGGCGATCCTCCCTGAAGGGCGCACTGGTCCACCACACGATGTTTTCTTACCTCGTGCATGCCACCAGATTTGCCAGGAGGAAAACCACCCAAGCTTGTCGAATTATTTTGACTGTTTACACAATATGTTAAGGTTTGATGAAATCACGTATGTTTTTATGCGACGGATAACTGTGCGAACAGAGCGGGATAGTTGTGACCTGTGTCATCAAGAAAACTTAACTCAACAGCACGGTGCGAATGCATGCCTGACTTAACGCCTATTAATGATGGTATTACCAATAACAGCTTTATTCCGCAGTCTCTAGGGAGCATATCAACTGAGGCCTTCAAAATATGAACGTGGCGGAGAACTACCAAACGGGGGAAAGTACGATCAACGATGTGGGCCCTACCAGGTGCTAAGTACTCGTCCATTGTGGAAACCATAAGCATAACAATGGGGAACGTGTTCCGATTAGCCCAGTGATAAAGCTGGTTAACTCGAATTAAACTGGAAAACCGTTGCTGGCTATGGGTGACCTTGGGCGCTTAAGTAAATGGTCACGGAAAGCACAATTGAGATAAAGAGATGGAGCAATTCAAAGTGGAGACAAAATGCAAGATTAGTCTGAAACATACGGCATAAGCTAAAAATGGATGAACAAACTAGTGTCACATACGAAGGGTGTAAAAGACATTTGAGGTAGTGATAACGCATAGCCCTAAGGGTCAAAGCATAAGTGGGCGAGAATGCACAGCCAGAAGGACGAAGGAAATAGTTGTGAGCACACCGTCAATTAGGTATAGCAAAGCTGTGCCATTGTTTCACCGGCATACGCTGGTTTCTAGACAACCTCGTAATGGACGTCATTTCGGAGATGCCCGTGCCGAGGACGTGGGATTCTTCAGGCGAGGGGAATTTTTGTTGGCCACGGAGGCCCACTGGCTCAAAACGAATCCGATGCAGAATCATAGTCGCCGCAACCCATTGGCACACCCAAATTGAGTTCGCCGAAACCATAGGGTTTTCGACGTTGCTATTTTAATGCGGAGTTAGTCTAATCAATTTGCACATTCCCGTGACATGTACGCAGCATTTCTTAAGTGAGCGAAATGTCGAGGTCAGTAACCATCGCCGATTTGCATTTTTTGCCGGTTTACGAGACATAAAACAAGAAATCGCACTTTGGCATATTTTGGCGTTCCTTGGCGTTCCTGAAGAATAGAATATCATCTCCAGAGTATTCAACGCAAATGCCACCCTATAGGATCAGTCGTAGGCGTTTGTTTACTTTAGACACCTCAGGTTTAAAAAAATGGGATATTTTTGTTTGGCGAACCCGCTCACATCACATTTTCATCATGAATCTCATATTCCATTAAGTTCAATAAAGTTAGATTACAGCACAAACTTGCAGTGGCAGTGCGAGGGCCATCTGTGGATGATCCCCTTTCCCAGATATTCAGAACTAGCTTGTAGCTAATACAGTGTTACGAGATAGCTGTGGGCGTGTTTCCTATTATAACTATGACGTTCTGTAGGAAGTGACCACCATAAAGCCGCCACAACGATGACGGTAGCCGTTGTCACTCACCTCGACTACCTATTGTAGCTGCTGGATCCGTGTCTATGTGCGACGCTAATTACGGTTCCCCACATATGCGCGGCAGCCCAATCCAATGAGCAACGACAGCCTGCTGTACTCGTATCTCTACTAGTTTTCACTCATATCGACTACCTGTTGTGACTGTTAGGCCCGCGTGCATGCACAACGTTGATAATGAGACTGCACCTATGCACAGTAACATAACCCGGTGGTCGATTATGGTTTTTTATACCCTTACCTGTACGCGATGTCGGTCGTCTTCGCTAGCTACAGTAAACATCAGTGCAATATATATGCCGACCGGTAAAAGTAAGGCCTCAGCTATGCGTGATAGCCACATCTGACAGCCTGTTATACTCGCAACTGTACTCAAAGTCATCTAAATTGGCTATTGATCGTACTTGTTGAGTTAGTGTCCTTGTGCATGCGCACAGCCAGAAGGACGAAGGAAATAGTTGTGAGCACACCGTCAATTAGGTATAGCAAAGCTGTGCCATTGTTTCACCGGCATACGCTGGTTTCTAGACAACCTCGTAATGGACGTCATTTCGGAGATGCCCGTGCCGAGGACGTGGGATTCTTCAGGCGAGGGGAATTTTTGTTGGCCACGGAGGCCCACTGGCTCAAAACGAATCCGATGCAGAATCATAGTCGCCGCAACCCATTGGCACACCCAAATTGAGTTCGCCGAAACCATAGGGTTTTCGACGTTGCTATTTTAATGCGGAGTTAGTCTAATCAATTTGCACATTCCCGTGACATGTACGCAGCATTTCTTAAGTGAGCGAAATGTCGAGGTCAGTAACCATCGCCGATTTGCATTTTTTGCCGGTTTACGAGACATAAAACAAGAAATCGCACTTTGGCATATTTTGGCGTTCCTTGGCGTTCCTGAAGAATAGAATATCATCTCCAGAGTATTCAACGCAAATGCCACCCTATAGGATCAGTCGTAGGCGTTTGTTTACTTTAGACACCTCAGGTTTAAAAAAATGGGATATTTTTGTTTGGCGAACCCGCTCACATCACATTTTCATCATGAATCTCATATTCCATTAAGTTCAATAAAGTTAGATTACAGCACAAACTTGCAGTGGCAGTGCGAGGGCCATCTGTGGATGATCCCCTTTCCCAGGTATTCAGAACTAGCTTGTAGCTAATACAGTGTTACGAGATAGCTGTGGGCGTGTTTCCTATTATAACTATGACGTTCTGTAGGAAGTGACCACCATAAAGCCGCCACAACGATGACGGTAGCCGTTGTCACTCACCTCGACTACCTATTGTAGCTGCTGGATCCGTGTCTATGTGCGACGCTAATTACGGTTCCCCACATATGCGCGGCAGCCCAATCCAATGAGCAACGACAGCCCGCTGTACTCGTATCTCTACTAGTTTTCACTCATATCGACTACCTGTTGTGACTGTTAGGCCCGCGTGCATGCACAACGTTGATAATGAGACTGCACCTATGCACAGTAACATAACCCGGTGGTCGATTATGGTTTTTTATACCCTTACCTGTACGCGATGTCGGTCGTCTTCGCTAGCTACAGTAAACATCAGTGCAATATATATGCCGACCGGTAAAAGTAAGGCCTCAGCTATGCGTGATAGCCACATCTGACAGCCTGTTATACTCGCAACTGTACTCAAAGTCATCTAAATTGGCTATTGATCGTACTTGTTGAGTTAGTGTCCTTGTGCATGCGTACCTAATCTAATGGTGAACGATGGACCTACTACTCAAAACTGTACCCGATATTGCCTACCCTGACTACTTATTGAAACTGCTAGGCCAGTGTCTACATCCGACGCTGTTTAGTAGGCCCCAGCTATGCAGTGTCCTGATTTAACTGCCAACGATCGCCCGTCATACCCAGAAATGTGCGCGCTCTCGCTTATGTCTGCTACTTATATCATCATGGAAATTTTGCCCAAATAAAAACTACCGATTGTTTACCAAGCTCTTCTTAAACGATGACTTCTCAGTCGGTTCCAAACTTTTTCCAATTGGTTGAAATTTTGATTGGGTTCGTAAATGAACATGCGGCAAGTTTGGTGTAACTGCGTGATTCTGCAGTTTCTTCAAGGGCCGGAATAGTAGGCCAATTTTAGCTCTTTCTCAAGCAAGGATGATTTCTTTATCTTTAAACGAGGGCGTATTTATAGTCTGAGTAACCAATTTGAATGCGCCTCTCGAGGGATCGTTTTTAAAAACGGAAATTCTGGTATAATGGCAACTTTCTGCCTGGCCTCCAACACAGTGCTAGTAAGGGTGGCATCTTCGAAGAACCAAAGTACCGGTTATCCTTTCAACTAGGTAGTTTGGTAGGTCAAGAAATCTCTAAAGGTCCTCCGGGTGTGCAGGCTCGGTGAACGAAAGCGGCAGCATTATCGGTTAGATGGTGGGAGGCCGTTCATAATTTTTGCGGGCTTAACAGATCGCCGGACTTAAGCTGATGGGAGATCCCTCACTGCAAATCTGTGATTAACCTGTTGCCTTTGCTGGACTAATTTTGGCTGTTGGTTGGGTCGGGCCAGACAAGGGATTGTCGGTTTGAGGCTAGTGGATTGGGCCCAAGTGAGCAAGTTCATGGGTACCAGAGACGCACATCACAGAGTGGGGAATTTGGGTCGATTCCCACAAAAGAGTGAGTTTGACGTGGATGAGATAAGAATAAGTTTCTGTTGCGACTTTACGCGGCCATCATTTTTGAGGCCCCTTACAATAAACCCGTCACGGCCCTACTGGAAAGGTTGCCACCCTCATGCTCTGGAAGCGTATTCAACAGTGTAGTCAACTAATTGTTCGTGCTTGGTGTAGGGATCTAGGTATCAATCTCTATGAAATGTTGACGATACCCAATGAGGAAAGTAGGCGTTGGACGGAGACAATAACTGCTCCGAGAGTGCCGCACACCAGAGCGTAAAATGGACGTGAACCTGATGAAAAGAAAGGGAAAGGATGTAACGGACAAAAGCGACTTCATCACGACTAGCACCATTGCGAATACATAACCACGGAATGGATGCCAGAAGGGACCTGGAGGTGGAAGAATAAGACGAGACATTAAAGATAAAAGCGGGCATGTTCCAAGAGGATCTTTGAAAATGGTGAACCAATTTTCGGGTGAAACCTCGGGTTTCCTAAGAAACATTATGGAAAATCTTATCATAATTCTGCCCGCAAAAGCTTCCTGAAACCACTGTTGTGACGTTTATGTTGGATCTTTACTTCATCCTGAAAATTTTCTGTCGGTAGACCGATTTGAAGGACTTCAGGTTGACACGGCTGTTTTTTCGCAGTAAATGATAGGTTGTCGGATGGACTCTATTTATTACCGCGCAATCCAAAGGCCTGCTCAACTGCGATCCGCTTGTCCTTTTGTCCAGTTCGGACAGCCTTGTATGTATTCCAGTATACTTGGTGTCTCTAATTTAAGGTTTTCTTGCATACAATAAGTTTTAGCTATAGGAGTTATGTATAATTGGCTACGTGTATGATTTTCCCGGGTATATTTTTGGCCCTGGTTTCCCATCGTACCTTCAGACACTTTCTTAACAAGATATATAACAACCTAGAATTCACCGTTGGATGCTTACTTTTATGTGCACCCCCACAATATCCAGTCCAGTCGGAATTGACAATAAATCGACAATTTAGACAGTTGTCCTTATCTGCGAAGCACTTACATCCTCATCGTGCATACACTAAACTGGAGAACTTCAGCTTCATGGCATGGTAGCGTCGAGTCGGCTTTTATTAGCATTTCATATGGCATAAGTGATTTGATTTGGGCTCGGGCTCTGTATGGGACGCATACGTACGATCAAGCAAGTCTGAGGTACGGAGTTTCCATATGCCCCAAAATGTTGGCACTAGAAGTAGCACCAAATGCTAAGAATGCTAGGCCGAAACGACGTGTCCTTCTCATGGTCTAAGGCCGGTTGATTCAACGAGGCTGAGAAAGGTTTGTCGATGGTAGCTGGAGTTCACCAGTATTTATTAAGTGACTACAGAGCCTCATATAAGTGTAAAGTACAGCCGCAGGACTGAGAAGTAACCGTTGTATGTAAATCTGTGAGACTGTGGGACTAAATTGTTCGTTCGGTCAGTTCCAGCATACTATGGCGTTTGAACCGCGAGCCTCGTTCGTGTACTATACATTCATTATTGTACTTGATGAGACGACACGCTGGGTAAAATCGGAACTGCTCAAAGCGGTTTTAAATTCGTGCGCGGTTTGCTAGGTCGGCCTGTGAAGAGCTGAGTTTTGAGATGAAGGAATGCAATCATCCTGACTGATGACGTGAATGCCCATTTAAGCGACTAGACCCATGGTCAGTGTCCGGATATTAAGGAGCGACTTCTTAATTTGTATGCTGAACATCGTGTGTTCTTGGCTGATAACAACTTTCAACAAACGCTCACATCGAGTTACTGGGAGGCCACCAGCTGCAGGCACATATGGAATCGTGTGTTCTTGGCTGATAACAACTTTCAACAAACGCTCACATCGAGTTACTTGGAGGCCACCAGCTGCAAGCCACATATGGACTTATTTGGATTATGTAGCTATCAGTTACAGATAGAGATTTCCGGTCAACCATATGGGAGTCACCCGGCTTGAAGACTGCTGGATACGGAGAGTGAACAAATGAAGATTTGTTGGAAGGTGAATATACGAGGGTGGAAGAAGCAGTCTTATCAGCTTTATAGGTGTCTGTCCAGGCCATCCGACTCAACTAAATAAAAGCTGGATACCATCGAGGTCAACAGATTGAGGAGAAAATCATATAAACAACTGGCAACGCGATGGGAGTCATTACGGTCACATCAGACGCAGAATCTTCATATCCAATCTGTCCATGGTGTTTGTCGCTAGAGGCGGTACTGGATCCAGTACTGCTGGATTGCCACTTCAGGCAGCTACAGGGTGACGTTCCAAGAGCTAACTCAAGATTCAGCCCCAGTAAAGTAAGCCACTTGGTCAGTGCGTAAATGTCTGACTAATACAGTCTTCTGGTCCTATAGGTTGGGGGAGGCAGCTTGCTTTCTAAGAATTTAAGCTCATCTGACGGACTCACGCAAATCACTGCTGCCTTAGGGTTAGGCTTCTGAGCCAAAAGCTTTGTCTGATAACCCCGGTCGTCCTCTTCCCTAGGTCTGGACATCATAGCAGCGTTCCAACTTACGCACGAAGGTGAACTCCACACCTACAACTAATCTTATGCCGCATTGGCTGCCACTTGGTGCCATCAATCGGGTCGCTTTACTTGCTGCCTGCGGCAGGGTGGGTAAACGTAAACAGACCACTGCTGATATCTTTCTTTTCCACATATTCGGTTCTCCTCCTTATCCGTTGTCAGTGACTTCTCCGTAGACCAGTTCTTCAGGACTGAAAGATACGTTTGACTTCCATTGTCACTGGTTCCAGTGACTTGGCCGCCACAGCCACAGATAATTTGAACTCACCCTTCAAACTCCTACACTAATTTCAGCTGGCATCCATTAATATTCGGACTCTGAAACATGCTGGACAACAGACAGCTTTTCCGTGTGCACTGAACTTAGTTTCCATTGATGTTGCTGTCTATCTGAGACGAGGATTCAAATCCCAAGTGCCGTTGTTGAACCTACCCCTCGATTGATTTCCTCTCGCTTCTAGTTGCACACCCCTGGGGATCCAGAAGCATCTGCGGTTGGTTCTGCTAAGACTGACTTTGTTATAAGCCACGCAGATAGTAGCCGGTTGAATGGTTGCCTCATTGATGGTAATCTCTTCGCGGCCCATTTGGCAATGTCTATGAGATTATCGCACAAACGCGCTGATAATTGTGCTCTTCGTTGTATTTGTTTATGCCCTAACAAACCAGCTGGGATACACTTGAAGAGCTTTAAGCGCTCTATTTCGGTGGGTTACGAGCTCAGTTATGGTTGTTGTTGCGGGGACTATGAATGCGCAAGTATATAGACTTAGCGCTGCTGAGACTCATTTGGATGGTCATTCAGGACGAATCGAGACGCACGGGCAACGGCGAACACTTGCCGCAGTTGTGTGTTGAACACGAACTGTTTCTGTGCAGTAGTAACCTCGAAGCAACCGAAGCTGCTTGGTCACATGTTGCCTCCCGCATGCGAGCCAACCTCCAACACAGGTAGACCACATTGGCATTAGATATAGGTGGCGTGGGTTAATTACTGGCCGTCGCACGTACTGGAACACTTGGATATTCGGATCATGCTTTGTTCATTTCTGCTTCTTGTTGGATTTTCTGTGGGTGCACATGGTGCGAATACCTCGCCTGGACATTGAAAAGCTCCCGAATCCTGATATGAAACAATTATACAAATACCCTTTGGACAAGACGTCTTCTGATTTTCACTCTTACTCGAATTTACCTTCTGTATCCCTGCAAGGTGCTTGTTGTTTCGCCCGTAGACTGGTTCAAACCAACCAGTTTCAAACACTGGATCTCAAACAACACTCTGAAATTGCCCGAAGCTCAGACACGTATTCTTCTCTGGTCGAGATTACGGCGATACTCAACGAACTGTCAACCTTCGGTTGATAGACAGCCTCTGCGCGGTCTGAGGAGCCTTGTGGGTCTAGATTTCGAAGAGCTGGAGGAGGTGAGGGACTCTTGGAATGCGCCTAAACTGTTCCAGCTGATAGGTGCAACGTGAGGAGACGGGCTACCGATGAGCGGAACAGCCACTCAAAATGACTGACTCATTCCTAGGAAAGAAGAGCTCATGGACCGTTGAGTTGATCACTTTTAATTTAACTGACTCTCTGTGGTTACTCAACCGGATTCTCGGCTCACAGTGCAGCCACGGACAGTGAACTTGAAACCCTTGATGACTTCGGTGATCGGTGAATTCCTTTTGTCCCCCATTAAACACCGAGCTGCCTCCCCTGACGAATTTCATTCCACTTTGTTCGAAGATGGACTTGAAATCTTCATATCCTACTTTATTTACTTCTATTTTGACGCAAGAGATTGCTGCAACCAACCGGTGTAAGTCGATTTTGGTTCCCAGTTTCAAAGAGGAGGATCGCGGTGACTGTAGCTGCCACCCAGGGATTAGCCTACACCTCCCCGTTTGAAACAAACTCTTAGTGTCGCTTATTCTACGTCTTCATGCGAACACATCTGTGCATTCCGACCACTCGCCGTCTGAATGGCTTCCCCCTTCGTTTTCCAGGACCGCATCAACTGAGGATAAATCGCTTCGAATTTGGGACTGAGAGGTCTCAATTTTAGACTAGTTTACGTGAATCGTTCTCAAATTACTTTTCCAACCGCTCCTCCATCAGGCAAATGTAAGGTGAGATAATGTCGCTACATTCTTCCTCAGTGCTTGGAATTTTGCCCATGACATGGCGCTACCAAGTACTGGATATCAATTACTACAGTGTCACGGCTTGAATCTCGGAACCCGCACGTTCCGAACGTAAGTTAGCCTGACGAATTATCAGACGTCCAGTGATAGTGTGCCCAGACTGCGAAGCCTGATGGAATCGGAAGGCTGAGGAAATAGAAGCCCAGAAGGCCGGGAATACCCGAGGGTTATTTCAGATGATTTATGCGGCTAGCTCCCGGAATCCACGTGCAAGTTAAACCTTCAAGGATCAGAGTGGTGTGAACACCTTGACTAAAGTAGAACGCTTTGACCGCTGGAGCGAATACTTTGAATAGAAGCTACCATAGCAACTCACTGCCATTCATCTGAAGCATACAACTGACGTAGAACCCTCAGCGGCGAATCTGGAACCGCCTACGGCCATGGAGGTTTATGTTTGGATATCCTCTGTCAAGCGCCACCGAGTTCCTGGTCCGGAGTGAAGTCATCAATCATCGCCTGTCAGATCTGCTTGCCGCAATAGGGAAAGCTAGACTGTCACAGGCAACTGCGGAAAATCGGTGATAGTGCCCATTTCCAAAAAGGCTCGTAGCAAGTTCGGTAGTCACAGGAAGATGAGTTTAACGCGGGTTGTAGCGGGCCTACTGGCGTCACTCCTTCGTCACCTTATTGTGGCTTGTGCAACACTGACTGGAGAGCAGCATGCAGGATTGCGGCCTGGTGGGGATCGCGTTTACCAAATCTTCACACTTCTTCAGATGCTAAGACAAACTGGTGCGTATTCCCGGATTTTCAAGGCACATTCGACTCAGTTGACCGGTCTGATATAGTTAACATGCTCAGACTTCCGTGCGTGTGATAGTTTACAGAGGGCTCTCAAGAGGTTTCGGTACGCAAACTGTTGTCCTTTAGGGGTGCCCGCCCCCTCCATTCGTGATTGACGAGGCAACAAGATTAACACTGGAAGGTGTTCAATTCACTGGTTTTGAAATATCTGATGACGAAAACCTTATTGATCTGGGGTTTGCGGACGGCATCACTTTTAGGAGAAGAGGAGAAGAAAGGTATTTTTGCTTAAACTGGTCAAGTTCATGTCGTTTTTCGGTATGCGCTTTGCACCCACAGAGTATAAAGTCCTGTTCCTGGAAGTGCAGTCACCGAATACTCACAATCCAGGGAGGGGCACATGATGTTGTGGTGCCCTTTACCTTGGTACCTTTATCTTGTGGTGTCTTCTATCTCGGGAGTTATGTTGGTTCAGATTGTAGCGTGGCAGATGAGGTTAGTGCGCGAATCTGAAAATCTCGGGCCGCGTTCGCTAATTTGAAACACCTATGGCGTCAAAGTGGTATTTCCATGAATCCTAAGGGGCGTGTGTATTACCGTGTGCTACTATTAAGCTAGTCTTGTTGTATGGCTGTGAAACTTGCCATCTTCGAGCAGCGCAACTGAGACGTCTTCGGGTGTTCGATAACCGTTGTCTCAGAACCACTGTTTGTGTAGGCTGGTTTGTGCGAGTCCGTAACGAGGTAGTTAGAAAGTGAGTATTCGGTTGCGCAACTGGGACTTCCCACGAAGAACGTTCGCAGCACCAGAAGCTGCATTGGTTGGACCATGTATTGCGCATGCCAAAGCACATTTTACCGAAGGGAATGCCGTTTACCATGCTTAATTCAGAGTGGCGGAAACGGAGAAGTAGTCGACCCTTGACCTGGTAGACGAGTATAGAGTATATTACGAAAAGTCTGGGTGCTATCGATGCGGTTCGTCTTCCTGGATGATCCCCATTATGTTTTGTTGGAGTCGCTGGAAGATATGGCAGCTAGTCAACGTGAGTGGCGTTCTTGTTGATGATGAGTGCGATGGTGATAATGATGATGATGATGTATGTTTTTGAGACTCCGGCACTTCGGACGGAGGACCTGAGGCATCGAAACTATGGTGGGAGTCGGCTGAAAACAACAAATTCGCAATGAGGTGGTCAGCAGACGGATTTTTGTCGAAACAGATGGTACTTCACTCAAAGAATGCATCCAAGACCGTAAACTAGGTTCACCGGATCGTGTGTTACCCATACCGATTTACCGAATACCGAGAAGAGCGTTATTTCCTGTTCTGATAGGGGACTTAATAGTGGACACAGCTTGACGTGATAGAGGGGAGTAAATGGTGTTAATTAAAATTTGGGTGCTGCCCTTGCAGGTTAGGGTCGGGCCCGTCTGTGTTTGCCTGGATCTACTGAACGAAATGGCGGCTAACACATGTCAGTGGCGTTCTTGCTGCCAGTTTCTATCTAGATTGTCTGATTCAGTGCTGGAAGTGTAGGTACCTCGGATGTTTGTTGTAGTATAGCCCTTAGCCCCAGTCTCTGCCCAATTTTCTTCTTTTAATTCAGTTGGATTGACATGGTTGTACACCACTGAAGCACCAGTCTTCTCTCTGGTGTTGCTGTCAATAATGGAGACTATATTTGTGGACTATTAACCCAAAGTATTTGATCCAGAAGTTGGACTTTTAAAGAAAGCTGAGTCAATACTACTTAGCGTCAGTCATATCTGACTACTGAGCTTAACCGCTCTGCTCAAGAAGTTGGATTTTGTTTTGGTCAAAACCTAATAAGCTATGCACTAGCCAGCATCTCAGTGGTGTGCCACATTTTAATCCATCTATTAATGCGTGCTTGTTTTATTTGAGTGAATTTGCTTCTGTTAATTGCGAAGGAACTTTGCCAAATCGATAAAACCATGTCACAGATAGGAAACGAACCATAGGTTAATGTGGTCATATGACTGTGGCAACAATAGCGTTACTTTATCTAGTGGCATTTACCGGCAGAAGTCTGGAAAAACCAACAGAACCGCGATACAAAAACACCCCTACCATTTCCGTCACGAGTGAACCAAGGCTACGCACATTTGTTGAACACCTACTTCGGTTAGTGATTTGTTAGCTGTTATTCGACTTAGCTTTTCACTGGGAAGTGCCTCCTGGTCGCAGTGATGGAATCACAAATTCCGCTGATGATATTATCGTTGTTCTCAGTACGCACTACTGCATGTCCATTCTGTTTGAACTATAGTTAATTATCTACCTTTTTGATAATACAACCACCTAGTTGTTCACTGGTAACTGGACTAATAACGTCACTCACACCGTCACTTCCTTTCCGCATGGTTGCATTTGTTTCATCGAATTAGCAGACGGTAGAACCTTCATTTTATGTTGGCCTGCTATTTCAATATTCTCTTACGCACTATCATACAGCTAGACATAAGTCAGTCAGCATGTGATTCCGTTCACCGTTGTCCAGCTGTTGACTTATGTGCTTTTAGTTGTTTGTGCATCCTCAATGCTCAGGGTGGACACGTTGCCTGTGATTTTTGTGCACCGAACGACACCTATGCAAGAGCTCCGGACAAGCAAACACATTGTTCGGCATTATTGTGATGTGGATTATTCTCGGGGGTTATCTCAGGAAAATAAATTATAAGCGTACAGGTTGGAAATGGCAACGAATTTCCGTATTGAAAATTAGGACCTGTAATTTCCACTGCTGCGTAAGATGTCCTAAGAATACTGTGTAACTGTATCACCCTAACAGGGTTTTTATGTCTTTTTATGTTGATAGAATTTGAGGACAATTCTAAAGCCGACTCGCCCACAGTCGCCCAACTTCACCAAGTTAATTATTCTGCTTTTTGTAAGGTTGTGGAACAACTCCGTCTCGTTAGGGCGCCGCTGCAACAGTCTACTTTCCTGTGGCTGTTCCTTACAGTACTGTCCATTCGCAGTGTTTTAGATTTTTTCCTAACTTTTTGACCTGAAAGCTTGAGAGAAGCGTTGACCATGTTGCAATTTAAGCATTGTTGATCACTGAAATTATTGATTTTGGTGCGTGTGCCGCTGAATGACATTGTATCGAACGCAGCCAGGCCCTCAACTTTATCTGTGAGGACACGGCTGCTATCGAACAATTGTCTGTTATGCACTCCTGGTGTGCACACGTGGCATACTATCATGATATCACAGTGTTAACATACCCGGCTGATATACCAAGCGTTTTGTTTTATATTCACAATTGGTCAATAGGACATACTATGCCTTACCAGAAAATCGGTTTTCTCCCTAAATCCTGCTTTCGCGAGAATCTTAAAGAGCATCTTACTTGATTGCTTATGGGTTAGGATTCATTTGACTCAAACCGGCGTATTCTTAACCCTGCACTGCAATGGATCCCACTGTCGAATTACCATTGGACTATTGAACTTCCCGTCCCATGTGGAAAAATTCACACAGTTCATATAAAAAATAGGCCGAGTAACACTATGTACTGGAATATTGTTCAGTCACATTAAAACAAATAAGATGCTCATGAGGCTGGACTCATTTCTGAGAACTTAGCTGTAGGGCGCATAGGCGTTGGAGTGCTACCACATTGCCCAGCATCAAATAAAAACTGAGGACATTGATGCTTAGATCCACTTCAGGTCCTTATTTCTGAGGGACTTTGGATTAATCCACGTGCGTCTTAGTGCTACTGAGCGAGTGAGCTGGATTATTCACAAGAGGAAAACCTCTGGCCTCATTTGGATGTATGTTAAAGGGCAGGCTGCTCAAAAACGATTGGTCTCTTGAGGCTCTCTTGATACATTTAGTTGGATAGTTTATCTTCTTCATTTTTGCATGCAGTCTCCGGACCTGAATTTGGCATGGTCAAAACATTTCAAGTATACCTCGGAGCTCACGGACACAACTCAAGTCGAAGCGCAAGTAGTAACAGTAGTTGCAGTAACAGCAGTGAGGATGACCGCACGTACAGCTGCGTCCACTGTCGCGCCCACCTGGCCAGACACCAGGATCTTATTTCCAAGTCTTTTCAAGGTAGCCAAGGCCGTGCTTACTTGTTCGAAATGGTAGTCAACGTATCCTGTGGGAAACCTGAAGAGCGGCTACTCCTAACAGGTAGGTGTTGTGACGAAATTCACGGAAATTTTCGGGTCTGTCTTTCTGACGTACTCATTGTCGTAGAACGCACGTGTTTTCTTTTATCAAACCACATGACTTGTGGGAACACAATTCACTTACTATCTGTGGCTGGCTGTATTTATGAAGCATAGTTGTAAACTATTGTTTGTAAAATTCGGTTCATCCTTCTAGCTATTCGGTAACTATAAACCACACCGAGTCCTTCAACTTCATTTCGGAAATAATTTCAGTGCGACTGCACAGTTTACACTCAGTTTCGTTTGAAAATATCCCGTCTGCGGACGATGTGAGACAATGGTCGATATATTACTGTGATTTCAAAGTATACTAAAGCTGATTACAATACTTTCCCTGAAGATATTTTTTCATAGAGAGTACATTTTTAAAAAGCAAGGGCAATGACTTTGTCACAAGGTTTCTTGAGTAGCAAAGGCTAGTCTGTCTATCAAGTGAGCTCGTTTCAAGAAGGGAACAGTGTGATCACTTAGGTTGGAAAGTCCAGTAATGTTAATGGTTATCTGTTTGAAGCAGTTGCTCCGGATGCCAGTGACGTTGAATCAATGCCAGACCGTGTCTCAGTGAAGTTCTTAGTGCAACTTTTGGAGACTACCTGTTGTACATTCACACAACTGTATCAAAGTTTATTTTGTTTGATGAGATACCGCGCTTCGTTTGCATATTTCATGGTCAAGAACCTAAATTGAATAGTATCAGACGTATTTTCCGGCTGTCATAGCCTTGAGACGTTTTCTTAATCGGTACTTCGTGAGATCGCTTTGAAATCCAGCTTTCCTCATGGTTACGGTGCAAATTGTATATTTATCCGAAGGCATTCAGGAAAATATGAACTTTGGCCTATGGACGGTTTAAGTATCCAGGCTACTGTCTGACGAACTACTGTTCCCAACCGCAGTTTACGTTGCAAGCGGAAATTGCCGAGTTTTTTTAACTGCTTCAAGAGAGCGGAAATCACAGCAAACTGAATGATAACGTATTATGAAGGCCTTCTGCATTTTTCATTTGTTTCTTCGGTGAATCAGAATGGGTGAATCCGCTGACCAAGCTTACCAGGCATGCATTACGCATTATTTTTCGTTCCAGGCCATTGTTGGTGGCAGATTCGCGGGAGATAGCATGAAATAGAAGCTTTGGGATATTCGTTCATTCCTGCTTACATGTTTCTGGGAATCCTGCACGCACTCGATCCCGATGGCACGGATGTTGTTATCTCCTAGCCGGACTGCCTAGCTAAAGTTCGCCGGTCTTTATGCATCGGTCGTATATCGGGTTAGGTTAGGAAAAGACGCTGTCAGAAACCCCGTGATGGGGCTTTAATTCGATATGATACTCAGATATGTTAATTTTATTGCTATCGACAGGAGTAGACACCTTATCCATGACCATTTTCCGTAGGGACGTAAGGCTTCTTCGCATCAAGTCTCCTCTTCTCCTTTATCCTTCCATTCTTTATGCTGGCTTCCTTCAATCACCTCTGTATAGCAGTTAAGATCACTGTATTAATTGCGTGTTGTCGTCAGTGATTCTAATGATCACATTACCCCGGTTTGTCATGCGCGAATGTTGTCAAATTTTTATCATACAATTGATGACAGACACTCATTTCTCCTCCCGTCACTAGTCAACGGTGATATTATCCAGTTTTTTCTCCAGGAAAGCAAAAAAAACGACCCTTTCATACAATCTAGTTCACACTAGCTGGTTTCAACGTCAGATGTCCAGAAAAAGCTATAGAAGCACGCACGGCTCATCAACGTGCCCTTCCAAATGGTGATCTTACTGTGGGCTTCGTTAGCGAAGTATATTCTAGTTGTCCACGTTCAGTCACGTGTAAGTGAAGCGCTTGTCAGGTTAAAACCCAGCTGGTTTTTATTTTTCATTCTTAGTTGGGGTATCCGGGCAATTTTTATAGAATACCCCGATCAATCTCGTAGGAAGTATTATGCAAACATTAATGTACTATACCTGAAGAGACACCTTTCAGGCAGGGTAGCTTTATACCATTCTATGTAGGTTTCTCAAATTGCAGCCATCGGATGTTATGCATAATTGGGTTTAGTTTTTGCTATAGCACCCATCCATTTGGCCTGTCTGGGGAGATCTAGTGTACCCAGGGTTACAAAGAATGAACCCACAAGAATCCAAATAAAATATTTGTTTTCATGTTTGATCAATGAGGAGGATATTCATACATACCGACTGGTCTTCGCAACACCACCTTAAATGCCCCTGGCTTATAAAGAAAGCTTATACCAACGGTTTTTTTCCACTGGATCTTTTGAAATTTATCCTACATTGCTGGAAAATAGCGGCACAAAACTGCTCGTAGCCAGAGACGCAGCAAACTAGAGCGTGTGTTGTATTTCACTTGGCTAATGCTCTGTGTTGAAATTGAAAATTTTTGAACTGTGATTGGAACAGCTTACTTGGAGCCTAAACTTTACAGGAACAAGTGTGAAGCTGTGACGGAGCAGCGCGGATTCTTCTTAAAACTGACCCAGTTGCAAAGCAAACTTCTCATCCGTTGTGTTCTAATCACGTTTGCAAAGGTATGCCAGCCTGGGTCTTCGCTTTTCCCTGACGTTCAATTCGTGCGGCTGACGAGCACTTGCGTCTCATCACGTATACACTAGGCAAACCAGGTGAATACGGAGAAATTTCTGGATGCTAGCTGACAGTGTGGCTAGGTGTGTTTAACACCCCATTTTCGGAAGATGGAGTGAAGTTCTCTTGAAACAGACATCGACTTGCAGTCGCCTTATGACTGGTCTTTGTAGCTGGCGCCCCAATCGCGCCCATGATGGAAAAATGTGTCTGATCTGGCAGTACTTTATCACACCTCATCGTTCTATTCCAGCTGATATAGAAAATCCAGTGTGGTTTACTAGAATGGTTGATTTAGAAACGCCTATGCCAATCCAAATATATCATTCTGGCCTTCTGTGACGTAGGCGTAGGAAAAAGAAGCCAGTACTTGCGAAGTTTTTATAATTGAGTCGTTTGGGCATTGTGGACAGAAAGATATGTATGCACCGTTTCCGGCCGGCATTACAAGGCACTTCTCAGCTGTGCGGAAATTCCTCTTGGATATCGTTCCTGCTAATGCTTAGGCCGCAACGGCTTTAATGGACGTCGTACCCACTGGTGACAGCTTTGCTCGAAGCTTAAAAACTTAACTGATATCCTTTACCGAGAACCAAGCCAAATCAAGTATTTTTTCTAGCTTGTCGGGATAGCGAATTTGCTTGATTACAGTCTTTTTCGAAAATTGTTGTAGCGATCCGTGTTGAACGTGAAGCCATCTTAGGCGTACAGTTGAACATGCACTGATAAGTGTACATTTATATATGGGTATCTCATTTAGAGTGCTAACTTTATATATATATA